ATGGCCAATCCTCACTGACCTCCTCTTGGACCTAGCTCTGACCTTGGCTCATTCCCATAAGGGGCAGGAGGGCATCTATAGCAGTTTTTCCTAAGTCAAGGCCATGGTGGTTAGTATCCAGTTAACTCCTAGTGGTTCAGGGGTCACTTGTGGTAGACCTGTCCTAAGTCAGGAGACCTGGGCCGGATCCCTCTATCATCTTGGCCTGGCCCTCCCCTCCCCCAGTACTGGAATTCCCTGGGCCTCAAGTTCCCTGCTCCACTCTGCAAAATGAAGGGTTTTGGACTATATGACAGCTAAGGTTCTTTCCAGCTTTTAAAATGACCAGGGCCCTCCTCTCCCCTGGGGAAATTGAAGGCAATTCTGGAGGATTCCTAGAATATTGGAGCTGGTGAGGACTTTTAGACAGTCCCAGTGAGTCTTTCCTTTCGAAGACTTGGTCTTGGAGAGGGGAGTGACTTGCCCAAGGTCACTTAGAAGTAACTGAGCAAGTGGGGAGATGGGAAGAGGGATGAACTTGGAGTCACCGGGCCTGAGTTCAAAACTCTGCTCCTCCACTTGACCTTGGGGCAGTTACTTAACCCCTGGGGTATCATTTTCTTCTTCCTCTGTAAAATGAGGGTAGTTCCAGCTTCCTAGATCCTGGAATCTTTGAACGCCCCTCCCAGGGCTGTCTGCCTGCCCCCTCCTCAGATTTCTATCCCCTCCAAGGGTGCCCTAGCCTATGGTCCCCATTCGATGCCACTCAGTGGCTGGGACACCGGGACACGGCCAACCTCGGAGAAGGATGTACTTTTGCGGAGGGCCGCCCGGACCCTCGTCGGGCCTGGGTGCATGGGCTGGGGGAGGAGGGGGTCTGGGAGAGTGAGTGGAAGTGGCCCTCCCCCCTCGCGTCCCCTCCCCTCCCAGGCCGGGCGAGCTGTGGGCGGCGGCGTCCCCTGCTGCTCGCTGGGGCTGGGCGCTGCCGCCGCGGCTGCCGCGTCCCCCCCCCTTGCAGCCAGCCACCCGCCCGCCCGCCTCCCGCCCGGGCTTCGGCTCGGCTCGGCGCTGGTGTTCAGTTTCAGCGCGGGGATGAGCGCGGCCAGCTAGCCCCCAGCTCCCGGGAGGAAGGAAGGAAGCCCGCTCGGCGGGACAGAAGACCAGGCTCCCCTGGGCTCCCCGGCAGCTGGGGCCGAGGAGGCCAGGGTAACCCCAGCTGGCGACCGCGGGGGCGGCGCGGCGTGGCGTGGCGCGGCGTGGCGTGGCGCGGGCAGGGCCGGCCCGGCGCGGGCTGGGCAGGGCTGGGGAGGGTGCAGCGGACCTGCGGCGCCCCCCACCCTGGAGCGCTGTAGGTGCCTGCGTGGGGGTGTGCGCGCGTGTTGTGTGTATGCCTAGCTGGGTGTTGTGGGCTGGTCTTCAGCTTGTGCCCCGGAGGGGGGGAGGAGGAGGAGGAGGAGGCGGCTGTGAGCGGGTGTGCTAGCCCGCCTCTGTGCGCAGATCTAGGGGTGTGAGTGCGCGCGCGCGCGTGTGAGTGTGTGTGTGTGTGTGTCCCGGCTTTGTGTGGGTAGGAGCTGCGCGCGCGTGTATCTGTGTGCGTGTGTGTGTGTGTTGGGGGGATTGGAGAGGCTGATATGTGTCCTGTGTGTGTGCATGTGCGCGCGCGCCTGCGCACCCTCCTTGCTGGTCACCCCCGCTCGGTCCGGGATCCGGACCTCCGCTGGAGGGGACGCCCACTGTACCCGTCCTCACCACCCGCCAGCTAGGCGGGCAGGCGGAGTTTTCTCAAGTTGGAGGACTGGGTGAAGCCGCCCGGGGCTGGGGGTGGGGAGGAAGGGGGCGGGGACGGACGCGGGCGCTCCCTGCCTCCAGGGGGAGGACCCTGAGCAAGAACTGGAAAGTTGATGCCCTCAGGTGCCCCGACCCTCCGAGCTCTCACCCAGTTAAGGCTCATTGTAGGGGGGACCCCCTCTAGGCGTCCGGTTCGGGGCTTCCTAGCTTTTTGTTTTTGTTTTTGTTTTTGTTTTTTTTTTTTTGCGGGGGTAGGGGTCTTTCGGCACCCCCGTCCCCAGCCCCGGGCTGTGACTGTAGGAGGAGTGTAGTCCCCATCTCCCGCCCTGGAAAAGCCCAGGCTAAGCAGGGCCGCCAATCTGGAGACCCGGCAAGACAGAGAGACAGACGTGTGTGGCTGTGCGCTGTCCGTGCCCACGGGTGGGCGCGGGAGGAGCAGCGGGCCAGGGCTGGCCGGGGCTAGGCTGGGGAGGAGGGGGGAGATTAGTTGGCTGTGGCAGAGAGCTGTGCGTGGCCCATGTGACTGCGGTGTGCTTTGGAAGAGGAAGCAGCAGAGGTCAGTGCAAAGGCGTAGCTTACCGGAGCCATGCAGCCAGGGGAGGGGGGAGGAGAGGACAGGAGAGATGGCAGGGGCCACCCTTCCCCTTAGCAACCCCCCTCAGCCAGCATCCTTGTTCAGACCAAAGCAGCTCTCTTTCCCCGACAGCCCGCAGTGATACAATGGCTGGAACGTCCAGCTTGGGGGTGGGGAGGAGGGGAGAGGCTGCAAGGGGACCTGGGGCCTCCGGGGCTGCTGCTGGCGACGCGAGGCCGTGACCTGCGGAGATGAGGCTGTCCCAGGCCTTCTCCCTCTCTCCCCGGGGAGTGTGGTCGAGAAGTTTATACCTCCTTTCCCCAACTGACTTTCGGCTTGAGTTGCTGGTGGCCAGCTGGAGGGGGAGTGAAAGCTTGGGCGCTAAGCTTACACTTAGGAGGACTGGATACCCGGAGTCCGTGGGTTTCCTAGAAGTAGACGTGTTTGGGGGCGCAGGGGGGTAAAGTTTGGCTGGCGTCCATCACCTATGGAAGGGGAGGGAACTTCGTCACCAGCTCCCTCCCCTGATGTCTCTAGACACCTGAGCCCCATTTCAGTAATGAAACAAGTTCGGGGGGTGACGGTAGTCTGAAAGGGGTTCTCTCTCCCAAAACGGGGTTCTGAGGCTTTTCTTCCCCAAGATTCACGTTCAGTAGGAGCCGAGCCAAGATTTTAAAAGGAAGAAAAGAGGAGAGAATTTGAGGGGATGGGGTTGGGAAGGACTAATATTTTGAAACGATGCCTTTTGAAGAATCTAGTTGGTTCTTTGAGGTGTGGTTGGTTCCGAGCTTCCCAAATGCTGCTCCCCCGATGCCCTCTTTGGAGGAAGGAAGAGTTAGGTGGAGATGGGGGCTGCAGCCAGTTCCGAGGCTGGGCTGGGCCGGGCTGGACAGGGGAAGAAGGCAGGGGCAGACGGCCCATCGGTGTCCAGCACAAGGTGCCCACAGCCCAGCCAAGGCTGTCCAGCTGAATAGGACTTTTAAAAAGGCAGCGCCAATGCCTGCCGCCTGTCTGGGGGACAGCGCTGCGCCCTGTTCTGTCAACTACAGCCCTCCGATGGGGTTGCTAGGCAGCCAGGCTCTGATGTACGGGAAGGCCCTGTGATTTGCTAGCCTCCTGCAGACACATGGTTAAGGTTCCCTCCAGCCTATCGGGTGGAGGGATGGGGGGCACGCCGTTTGCATACTGCCAAATGCTCCTGTACCTGAACGTGGGGTGGGAAGGGGGAGCAAGGAAGGGAAAGAGAGACAGCTCCCCCCCTCCCGCTCTTTCTTGAGCTCCAGCCCCCTCGCCATCCTTTCTCTGGACCAAGTCTGGTCCAAAGGTGCTGCTGCCCTCTCCCCCTTACCCCGAGCCCTCCCCTTCCCCAGACCATGGAAAAGGAATGTGGAACGAGGAAAAGAGGTCAGTGGGGTAAGAGCGTGTGTGTGTGTATGTGTGTGTGCACAAGCGTGTGTGTGTGCGTGTACAAGCGTGTGTGTGCATGGTCTCAGTGGTGTAGCGGGGTGCATGCAGTGAGGCATCGTTCTAGATGGTGCCTCATTTGGGGAGGGGACCCGGAGGGTCTGGAGCCTGGGCTCCATCCACGGAGCTCTCAGCTGCTGCTTTTCCAGGGTTGCCCCTCTTCCTTTTCACCCTCGCCCACCACCTAGGAGGGCAGACCAGGAAGGAGGGGGCGTGCTCTCCAGGTGGGCAGCCCTTTCTTTTCCCACTTTGCAGTTGTGGTATGAGCAGGGAAAAGGGGGAGCAGGGACCAGTTGTCGCTCCTAGAAGGCTTTGCTGGGGTAGCGTTGAGGCAGGGGTAGCAGAGGAGGAAAGGACCAGCTTTGGAGTCCCGGCTGGTCCTCCCGCTTCCCATGTGACCATAGCCAAGTCACTTTATTATCTGTGTGGGCTCCACTGTCTTCATCCATGAAGTCGAGGGCTGCCGCTGTTCTGTCTCCACATCCCATGCTTTGGGTCTCTCTCTACCCAGTCATTTTATGCTTATTCCTGCCAGTTCCTCTGAGGACCCTTTTGTGACCCCTCCAGCCCCCAGCCCTCATCGCCCTCCTTACCCCTCACCAAGGACTGCCCAGTGACCCCTCTTGTACTGTCACTCGGCTTTCAGCCTGTCTACCTCCCCAGTGGAGACTGGGAGCTTCTTGAGGGCAGGGAAGCCAGCTTGGGTACCTTGTCTCTTCCTTGGTTCACTGTGGGTATTCAGGAGGTGGTAGATGGATAAATGGATGAAGGAGGGGGTCATTGGGTGTTAGGGATGCAGAGGTCAAGTAGGCAGCTGACTAAGCCCAGCCAGGGCCCAGCTGAGGAAAAAGGTCAGGCTAGCACCTGTAACTGCAGGTGGGCCCTGGCCGGAGCTGGGAGTGGAGACAGGAGGTGGGGAGGTAATGACACATGAAATAGCCTGTGGTTTGGTACCAGTCCATGGAAGACACTCTCCCCCTGCCAGAAGGGGCAGGTAGTCACAGTCTGGCCATGGTCACCAAACCCAGGGCCTTCTCGTAAGGGGATCACCCATAGTATCTGGATGTTTATTTGCCCTCCAAAATTCCCCTATGTCTCAGGTGAGGGAGGTACCTTTGGGGTATGATGTAGCCCCCCATGAAACAGGCTCTCAGGGTTCTGTTTCTTTCTCCCCCTTGGGTGCCTGCAGATACTGTCTGATGAGCGTCAAAGGTTGTTTCACGGACTTCCATATCGATTTTGGAGGTACATCTGTCTGGTACCACGTCTTCCGGGGCAAGAAGGTGAGTGCCTCCTTGACTTATGCCAGAGTCCCCTCTCATACCTGTATCCAGAGCGGGGGTGGAGTTGAAAGGACACTAGGTTTAGAGCTTATAGACCTGGGTTGCAATCCTGGCTCCGTCACAGTCATTGCCTGCCCATGTCATGTCACCTTGGTCAGGTCACTTTCTCCTTTTGTTGGGGCCTCAGTTTCGTCACCTGTAAAATGAAGGGGTTGGACTAGATGGTTTGTAGGGGGCCTTCCACTTCTAAATCTGTGACCTTGGACAAGATGCTTCATCTATCTGGGCCTCAGTTTCCTCATCTGTAAAAATTAAGGGCTTGAATGAGATGATTTCTCCAGGCCCTTCTGGCTCTTAGTCCTATGATCCTCTTTTCCCCTCCTCCACCCAGGTGATAGATCATTTCTCAACCCTGCAGGAGCCCCCCACACCCCTGCCCTACCCTCAGGATTGGAAGGTATCCTTCTGCTTTGACCCAGTCCTTGGGGCTGTTGGGTAGAGACCAGAGGATCTGGGTCTGGGGAATTCAATCAGGAACCACAGCTCAGAGTTCATACAGTACTAAAGGCTTTTGGGTCTGACGACCTGAGTTCAAATGTTGCCGTTTGATACTTGTGTGACCTTGGGTAAGTCACCTCATCTCTCTAGTCCTGTTTTGTCATCCGGGGACTCTAGGCTTCTTCTGAGACTGCTTCTGGCTCTGCTGTGAACCCCAGGACAGGGACCCCTAAACTTTGTGGGGCATTTGTCATAACGTTCAGACAGCACCCTTGCGGAGCCAGACTTTACACAGGAAAGAGGGACGTGAACAGAATGTTTCCAGAGGCAGCTTGAGGGTGGTCATAGAATGCTGGTCCCAGATCCTACCAGTGATACTAGCTAAGTGACCCTGGGTAAGCCCCTTGACTTTGCCAAGGCTCTGATTGCTCATCTGTAAAATGGGGTTAATAATAACTAGCATTTGTATGATGCTTCCAAATTTGCAAAGCGCATTATAATTGTTATCTCATCTGATCCTCACCAGGAATCCTGGGTGGTAGGTGCAATTATTATTCCTAGTTTACAGTTGGGGAAACTGAGACAGGCAGGTTAAGTGACTTGCCTAGGGTCACAATAGATAAGAAGGATCTCAGGTTAGATTTGAACTCAGATCTTTCTGACTCCAGGCCCAGCACTCTACCTGCTTGCCATCCAGCTACCTCTAGTTGTCCAGGCTCAAAGGAGATGAAAATTATGATAAATAATAATAATGGTAAAGAGGTGCCTACTTGGCCCAAGTAATAGACCATTGGACTGGGAGCTCTTTGAACCCTCGATTCATGCTGGGCCTGCATTTAGAAAAACCCTAGTTCAAATCCTTAGATAGTATGACCCTGGGCAAGTCACTCATCCCCTGTCTGCCTCAGTTTCCTCATCTATAAAATGGGGATAATAATAATAATAATAGCATCTGCCTTCTCATGGTTGTTGTGAGGATTAAGTGAAATAATAATTGTGAAGCATTTTACAGACCTTAAAGTGCTATATAAATACTAGTTTTTCATTATCACATCATCATCATCATCAGAAAATTAATAGAGCTTTAAGGTTCAAAAAGTGCTTTATACATGGTATCACATTTGAGCCTTCAATCAGTCAGTCAACAAACATTGAGAAGCATTTTGCTAATGAATGGGGGATACAAAGACAAAAAAAGAAACATTTCCTGCCCTCACATTGCTTATGCTCTATTGAAGAAGACAAAATAACCCTGTGAAGCAAATGCTACTCTCATCCCCATTTTGTGGATGAGGAAATTGAGGCTCAGAGCATTACTAAAGTTTAAAGCACTCTCTATATTCTTATTATTGTTGTCCCGGGGTCAGAGGTTAAGGGAAAACACTCCAAATTTATATTCAGGAGATCTGGGTTTGAGTTATGACCTGCTTGGGGTATGTGTGACCTTGGGTGAGTCATTTTACTTCTGAGCACTGTGTCTTCATTTACAAAATGAAGGGGTTGGATTGGATTCTAAGGCACCTTCTGTCTGTTTTTTAAATGGGGTGGACGTATCTTTATAGGTTTGCTTTGGCTTCTGGGTCCCATGGCCTAATGGACATGGGGCTAGGTGTTGTCTGTCTTTGTGAGAGAGAGACAGAGAGAGAGAGAAGGGGAGAGAGAGAAAGAGAGGGAGAGGAGAGAGAGAGAAGAGGAGAGAGAGAGAGAGGGAGAGGAGAGGGAGAGGAGAGAAGAGGAGAGAGTGTGTGTGTGTGTGTGTGTGTGTGTGTTTTGCACACAGTCTTGCTACAATCTCTCTTCCAGATGTTTTTCCTCCTACTGAGCAGATAGAAGGTGGGGATTTGTTTTATTTTATTTTTAATTTCTGTATCTTCTGAAATCTCCTGGCCCCGCCCCTGCTTGGCAGAGTGCCCCCCCCCACTTAACACTGACGGACCAGTGGGGATTGGATCGTAGGGGAGCCCCTTCATCTTGGGGCAGAATCCAGAAGAGGGGAACCCTGGGATTTCAGACCTGCAGGAGCCCCAGTTGATTAGAGAGGCAGTTTGCTGCAGGTCTGGAGTTGGAAGCAGGTGAGCCCTGAGTTCCAATTCTGCCATGGAATCCTAATTATTGGTTTAAGCATTTAACCACTCCAAGCTTCAGGTTCTGCATCTATAAAATGGTGATAATAAAATCCAAGGCCTTTACTACCTGGGGTAATTTCCAGGCTCAGATGACATCACCAAAACAATCTTTTTTTTTTCTTTGGTGAGGCAACTAGGGTTAAGTGACTTGCCTAGGGTCACACAGCTAGTGTCAAGTGTCTGGTTGGAGACCAGATTTGAACTCAGAACCTCCTGACTCCAGGGCCGGTGCTCTATCCACTGCACCACCTAGCTGCCCCAACAATCATCTTTAATCATCTACTATGTGCCTGCCACTGTGCAAGGGATACAAAGGCAAAAGCAAATAGTCCCTTCTATTAAGGATTATAGATGTAGAGTTGGGAGAAAGGAAATAAGCATTTATTAAGTGCCTTCTGTGTGCCAAGCACTTACAAATATTATATCAATTGATCTTCACAATAAGCCTGAGAGGTAGGTGGTATTATTATCCCCGTTTTACAGATGAGGAAACTGAGGCAGACAGTGCCTTGCCCAGGTTCACACCTTTAGAAATTGTCATAGGCTAGATTTGAACTCGGGTCTTCCTGACTTCAGGCCCAGTGCTCTATCTGCTGCACCATCAGTGCCAGCTGCTATGGCCCTTTCGAGGTCCCATGGGAGAATTCATGGAGTGTCATACATAGGTCATAGGATCATAGAGGGCTTCATTTTACATCTGGGGAAACCGAGATTAGAAGTAAAGAGACTTGGAGAGTTGGTGCTGAGGTGGGATTTGAACCCAGGTTTTTTGCACAACCACCTACTACAGGCAGCCACCTAGCTTGGGTCCCTCCTTTCCAAGCAGATCCCTGTCTCCTCCACCCAAATCTCCACGCCCGTCCACGCCCGGAATGTGGCCGGGCATGGCTGTGAGGGATTTGGTTTCCTTTCTCAGATCTTCTGGCTGATCCCCCCCACCTTGCACAATTTGGAACTCTACGAAGAGTGGGTGCTGTCGGGGAAGCAGAGTGACATCTTCCTGGGGGACCGAGTGGACCAATGCCAAAGAATTGAGCTGACCCAGGGCTACACGTTCTTCATCCCCTCCGGTAAGTGCTGGGCGGCGTCTTCGGAGCCGAGGTTGACGCCTCTGTGCTGGTCGGCTCCCTCCTTTGAAATGACTTCTTGCAGACCAGACACTTGACACTTACTAGCTAGCAGTGTGATCCTGGGCAAGTCACTTAACCCCAACTGCCTTAAAAAAAAAAAAAAAGGAAAAAGGAAGAAAAATGGAATGACCTCTTGGCCCAGACCAGACACTTGACATTTACTAGCCGTGTGATCCTGGGCAAGTCGCTTAACCCCAACTGCCTTAAAAAAAAAAAAAAAAAAAGGAAAAAGAAAGAAAAATGAAATAACCTTTTGGCCCACTGGCTGCCGGTTACTTGCTGGAGAGGTGCGTCTCTTAGAAATAGTGCCGCTTCTCAGACTTACTTTCTTGGGGGGTCCTGGATGAACGTCACTTAATATACTGCTCGTGCCTTTGGGGCCCCCTTTTGTCTAGGAGGGCTTTCTATTGGACATGGGTCTTTTTTTTCAGAGGTGAGGGTTCTATTTCCCTTTTACTCTTTTCTTCCTTTTTTTTTAAGACAATTGGGGTTAAGTGACTTGTCCAGGGTCACACAGCTAGTGTCAAGTGTTTGGTCTGAGGCCAGATTTGAACTCAGGTCCTCCTGACTTCGGGGTCGGTGCTCTATCCACTGCACTACCTAGCTGCCCCTTTTACTCTTCTCCAGATGCTCCTGGAGCCTGGTCTGACTCTTGGTGCTGGGAGGCAGTGAGGGCACAGTAGGACCAGGGTTTAAACCCCGTCTTTACCACCCGTGTGACTCTGTGCATATCATTTCCCTTCTCCAGTCTCCCTCAGTCTCCCTTTCTTTATGACCTTTTTTGGGGGGCTTTTTGGTTAGGCAGTTGGGGATAAGTGACTTGCCCAGGGTCACACAGCTAGTAAGTGTCAAGTGTCTGAGGCCTGGATTTGAACTCAGGTCCTCCTGACTCCAAGGCTGGAGCTCTATCTACTGCACCACCTAGCTGCCCCTCAGTTTCCCTTTCTTCAACTAGAACGATTGGTCCCTTCCACCCCTCGATTTCTGCTCTGATGAATGGGCCAGGCTAGGCCTAACGGTCCTGACTCGGTCAGAGCCCGTGAAGATGCTATGGTCCGCAAGGTGGGCCGCTCTGTCATTGGGACCCCAGACTGACAACTCGTGACAGAGAGTGTCACGAGTTTTCCCGGGGCAGTCTGGGAGCAAAGATAAAGGGGATTGTGGAAGGACAGTGGGAAGCAGATGGAACTCAGTGATAAGAAACGTTAAAAAAAAACCCAATCCTATCAGCTGTACAAATATAGGATGGGAAAGACGCATCTTAACAAGTAATTCATGTGATGAGACCTGAGCGCCGTATGAGTCAGTCGTGGCTGTTAATGTGACCTTAGGCAGAATTAAGAGAAGTCAGACCGGGGCGGGGGGATGTTGGAGCTGAGATTGCCTTGATATGGGGGACTCCCAGTGTGGAAGCTTCCTCCCACACTACTGATCAGCCCTGTGTCTTGGTCTGTGTGAGAGGCAGGCCTCAGGCCTTCCTATTTCTTTTTTCCCTATAGATCTTGTATTTTTTTATCTCAAAACATAAGGAGTTTGTGGGGCAGATTCTATCAGGCTTAGTGAATGATTACCTGGGAGAAGGAACGTCCCACTGTCCCTAGTCCTGATGCCGCCATTCTAGGAGGGGGGTGGCTGCCTCTGGACGTCCTAAGGTCGTAGCGAAGGGAGACGAGAAGAAGGGGCTTAGAGCCGTGGGGACTGTCAGAGGGTTTGGGAGCTTAGAGATCCTCTAATCCACAGCAGAGGGGGCTGGACCCTGGATCCAGGGTTCAGGGACTGGTCCAAGGTCACACAGTTAAGTCTCAGAGTTAGGATTCTTAACCCTTTCTTCATCTCCTAGAGGAGAGGAGAGGACTTTCTTAAAGTCACACAGGCAGCACCTCACTGTTCCAAACATGGGACAGCCACGTCCTTGTTGGGTGAATCGGGTGGGGAACGTGCGGCCTCTTGACTGAGTCCAAGATTTACAGAACAAATCCTTTTATGAAGGGGGTTTGTTCTGTGAAGTCTGGACTCAGTCTGAGGGCGGCGCTCGAGGACCTAGAGGGCCGAGTGTGGCCTCGAGGCCGCAGGTTCCCCTCTCCTGGTGTGAATCATGGGCCCTGAAGCAGCTGCGTTGTTCAGATTCGCACCGCACGCCTCCATTGGGCTGGGATAAGTATTTTTATAGGATCGCCATAGTTTACATAGGTGTGACCTCAGATAGTTTGTGTTTGAAAGCTGATTGGAAGCCGGTGTGCCACTCGGACCTCAAGGACCACCACACGGAAGAGGGGTGTATATATAGACTTGCTCTGCCTGGCCTTGAAGTTCTGTCCGGGCAAAATTCAGTTCAGTATCGAGAAGTCTTCTCATTTAGTGCCGTCCGGTAGCTCTACTTGGAATGGGCTTGCAATGTTGGTAGTGAGACCCCCATCATTAGAGGTATTTAAGCAGAGGGAGGTCGGATAACCTCCCGGATGATGTTGAGGAGATTTCTGCATAGAGAAGAAGGTTGGGATGGTGACTTCCAAAGGTCCTTTCCAATTCTGAGACTGTTGCTCAAGGGGTAGAGGGTTAGGTTTCCAACAGTCCCAAGGCTGGCTGTGGGTCAGCTTGTCTGAGCTGTGGGTGGGGGGCATTTAGATGCTCAGATTGGTGCCTGGGGCTGAGGCTGACCTTCAGGGAATGTGGACAGCATTGTGTTATGTGGTGTAGAAGTAAAGTCTTACTCTCTGTCACCGCTTTGAGGAGTAGTGATGAGTGGTGACCCGGCTTGGTCCAGAGGCCTGGCTGTTCTTTGAAGGTTATTGAGGGGATGAGGAGGGACTTCTGGGGGCAGGGCCCAAGTCATAAAGAAGGTGCCTCTCAGCGGGGGAGTTTAAACCATCTGTTGTCCCCTGGTGGTAGATTGTAAAGGTCCTTCTGGGACTGATATTCTCCGAGTATCTGAAACTAGATGTCTGTGAAAGGGCAGTTCCTGGGGATTCTCAGAAAGCCCGCTTTTAGGCATGGCCCTGCCATGGGTTGTTAAATGTTCTTGGGCAAATGGCATCTTCTCTGTCTTCTAGAGTCCTCTTGTAACACAGGGGAAGCTGGATTAAATGATCTCTAAGGTTCTTCCTAGCTCTAATGTTCTAAGGGACCTCCCTGCTCTGACATTCCATGTTCTAAAGTCCTTCCTAACTCTGATATTCTGTTCTAAGGACCCTCCCAGCTCTAACATTCTCTGTTCTTAGGCCCCTCCCATCCCTGAAATTCTGTATTCTAAGAACCCTCTCCTCCCTGACATTCTGTGTTCCAAGAACCCTCCCAGCTCTGATATTCCCTGTTCTCAGGCCCCTCCCCGCTCTGACGCTGTTCTAATGCCCCTCCCCAGCTCTGACATTCCCTGTTCTAATAACCCTCCCCCAGCCCTGGCAGTCTGTTTTAAGGCCCCTCCCATGTTCTGACACTCCATGTTCTAAGCTCCATTTTCTAACGCTCCATGTTCTAAGCACCTTCCCTGCTCTGATGTTTTCTGATTTCAGGCTTCTTCCAATATTCTGTGATTGTGTAGCCTGGACAAGCTTCGATCCTCATCACTTTTCCTGAGTTAGAACAAATATTGGCACTTCCTCTTTCTGGTCATTAGTCAGAGTGGGCACGCTTCCCCCAACCCCCCTTGCTTTGGGTCAAGGTACAGGTACGGAGGCTGGGGGGCAGCTGTATCTGGGTGATAAGCAATGTCCGGGTTAGAAGCGATGTTGCAGAAGGAACACAGAGAGGCAGGCTTCTCTGCCAGAGAAAGCCAGGACCAGGGCAAACTGGCTTGAGTTTTGCAGCAGGTCAGATGCCAGATGGGTAGAGACCCAAGGAATTGTTGATTTATCATGCCATGGAAAGGCTGCAGATAAGGGGAGACGGAAAAGGGTCCGAATTTGCTTCTCAGTAGCAAGGGAGCGCCTTGGAGACCCGGGGAGACCTGTAACGATCCTCTTGGCATCCTGCCCAGTGTCTGTCCCTGCCATGGACGTAGATCTGGACCCTGAGATTGTTGGCATGTGCCCTCTGGAGGTCGGGGGAGGTTCACCACCCTGGCCCTCTGGGTCTCCATTTAGAAAATGGAGTGAATGAAGCCCAGCCCTCCTCATCTCTTAGAGATGTGGGCGCGTGAGGTTGAATATATTACAGTGATTTTATCTCTTACAAGAAAAAGTGCTCCCTGTTCTTGATCACCGAGCTCTTCCTGGGTGCCAACTGCTTGGCCCAGGAGGCCTGGGTTCTGGCTTTGGCGCAGTCGCTGTCTGCCTCTGTGACCGCCCAGTCTGTCTGTTCATTAATCTGTCCAGTCGGAAAGCATTTATTTGTGCCAGGCACCAAGTCAGTTCCTTTCACGGTTTGAACCTCAGTTTTCACATCTGTAAAATGGGCCAATAATCTGTTGCCTGAAGACTGTAAGACCTTGAGTCTCGACCTAGAAAGCGCTTCAGAGACTTCCTAGTTCAACTCCCTCATTTTACAGATGAGCACACTGAAGCCCAGGGAGGTGACTCGCCCAAGGTCACGCCGGTAGTAAGCATCAGAGTGTGGATTAGAACTCAGCCCCTCTGACTCCCTGGCCATTGTCCTTTCCACTGGATCATGATCCTGCCTCCAGGGGGCTCAGCCACGCAGTTTCTTCCCTGCTCCATTTTCTGCTTCCCTTTTCAGTGTGAGGAAGGTGACCCCACCTCTGTCCTGACCCTTTTTTCCCCCACTGCCTTGGCTCTAGGGGGCCAGGTGGTAGCGATGGATCCCCCCTCCCCCCAGCCTCTTTTCCCTGGCTGGGTTTGCCTCAGGGTGCCGTGGGGTTCTGGCTCCCAGATGTGTGATGGCCCCAATCCGGAAGCTGGAGACATGTGCCAGCCTCCTGAATTCGGTAACCAGCCTGCCGGTGTTAGAACACCTGTTCCCTGGCACTCCTGCTGTAATGAGATGCTGGGGCAGGGGAAGGCTTTTTGTGAATGGCTCAGGGAACCTTCAGTGTTATTCACGTCACCTTATGGACTTCATCCCAGTGATAACAACATTTAGACATTGGAGCAGATGGTAGGGGCTGGGGGAGGGCAGGTTCAGGGATTGGAACCCAGCTCGGGAACCTCCGTGGAGCTGGGCAGGCTACTCCGGGCTCTGTAGGCTGGGGCTTGTGGGGGGGAGAGAGGAGGAAAGCCAGGATGTGAGATCGAGGCAGCGAAGGGGCTTCTTCAGCATTATTCCTTCCCTCTCATCCCTCCCTCTCTTCCTTTCTCTCTCCCTCCCTCCCTCCCTTCCTTCCTTCTTTCCTTCCTTCCTTTCTCTCTCCCTCCCTCGCTCTCTTCCTTTTTCTCTCCCTCCCTCTCTTCCTTTCTCTCTCCCTCCCTCCCTCTCTTCCTTTCTCTCTCCCTCCCTCCCTTCCTTCCTCCCTTCCTTCCTTCCTTCCTTCCTCTCTCCCTCCCTCCCTCCCTTCCTTCTTTCCTTCCTTCCTTCCTTTCTCCCTCCCTCCCTCTCTTCCTTTCTCTCTCCCTCCCTTCCTTCCTTCTTTCCTTCCTTCCTTCCTTCCTTCCTTCCTTCCTTCCTTCCTTCCTTCCTTCCTTCCTTCCTTCCTTCCTTCCTTCCTTTCTCTCTCCCTCCCTGCCTTCCTTCCTTCCTCTCTGTCTCCCTCCCTTCCTTCCTCTCTCTCTCCCTCCTCCCTCCCTTCCTCTCTCCCTCCCTCACTTCCCTCCCTTCCTTTTTTCTTTCTTTCTCTCCTTCCTTCCTCCCTCCCTCCCTCCCTCCTCCCTTCTTCTCTCCCTCCCTCCATCTTTCCACTTTTGAGTGTGATACAGTGAAAAACACTGCAGAGGCCAAAAGACCAGGGTTTGAATCTCAAATCTGAGACCTTGAACAAGTAACTTCTGCTTTCTTGCCTCAGTTTCCTCATCTGTCAAGTATGGGCCATGCTGTTATGAGATGGCCACTGAGGAACCTTTCTGCTTGAGGTCTGTGACCCTAGGACCCCTCCCCCTCCCTGTCTGTTTCACTTCTTGGTTTTTTGATTTTTGCCCAGACCAGTGATTTCATCAGTGTTAGGAACTTCCAGTAAAGAAACTAGCTAGGGGGCGCCATAGTGCACGGAGAGCTGGGTCTGGAGTCAGGAAGACCCAAGTTCAAATCCAGCCTCAGGCACTTAGTAGGTGTGTGACCCTGACCAAGTTATGCCACCTCTTTCTGCCTCATCTGTAAAATGGGGGTAATAACAGCACCTATCTCTTGGGGTGGTTGTGAGGATCAAAGGAACTGATATTTGGAAAGCACTTAGCACATAGTAGGTACTGCATGAATACTAGTTATTATGATGATGATTATTGTGATTGCCTCTCCAGAGAGGGTAGGGAAGTGTATTTTCTCAACTCTCCAGGGGAGCCAAGCTCTGTAAATGCCCTGTTCTTCTGAATAATTAGATCCCTTTCCCTCTCAGAGGCAGCTTGGAGTTGCTGGGTAGGAACAGGAGTCAGGAGACCCTGGGTTCGAGTCTCACGTGGGACATGTTCTGGCTGTGTGATCCCGAGCAGGTCCAATTGCGCGAGGCAGGGAAGGTGCTGAGCTGCACCGATAGACAGAGCTCCCTCACCTGGAAGTCCTCATACCAGTGAATCACACATCCTGTCCCTCATTCACTGAGGAGCCCATTTTTCCTCACACAGTTGTGTGTTTGCATGGGGGTCATTATCCCCATTTTACAGGTGGGGAGAGGGGCAACTGAGGCCCAGAGAGGGTGAAGTTAATTGCCCAGCATTGTAGAGTGAGCTGGTAGAGCTGGGGCCCCTGGACCCTGGACCCCGAGTCCTCTGGTGGCTTGGCCAAGTCGGCTGAGCCCGCAGGGACCCTTTCTTCTCCCTGGTTGGTGCAGTCATCTCGTGTAAGTCAGAGCTGGAAAGAGAACCCAGGAATTCTTGTTCCCTGGCTTGGTACCCCCACTGTCCAGCGAGTGGGACTCAGTGGCCGGGGACGAGAACATCAGGAAACACTGTTTAAAAGCAGTGATGCTGAGGATGGTAATAACAGTGCTGCTAATAATAACTCAGGCTTCCAGTCCCCTTGGGAGAAACAAAAACCGTAGTTACTGAGAAAACAGACTAGGATTTAGCTCTTGGAAAGGAGATGAAAAGCAGATCTTAAAGGCAAGGCAGATATTTATTTATTTATTGCCCTTTTTCAATTTTTTTTTATTTTTTTGGTGAGGCAATCTGGGTTAAGTGACTTGCCCAGGGTCACACAGGCTAGTAAGTGTCAAGTGTCTGAGGCCGATAAGGTAGATATTTAGAGGCAAGTGGAGTAAATGTGGTGTCCAGGACCTGGGTTCAAATCCTGCCTCCTGGAGCTAGGTCTGTGGCAAAGGTAGTTCACCTTTATGAGCCTCACTTTCCACATCTGCAAAAGGGGGGCAATAATACTCGAAGCACATACCTCCATGGGGTCAACCGGGGCTCCCATGAGGCAGGGTCTGTAAAGCGGTTTGCAAACTTCAGAGCGCTATGTCAATGTCAGTAATTGTTATTGTTATCATCTTGAATGTACTTGGCCTATAGGGCTGCTGCTGCCGCTGCTGGGTGTGCATCTAGACAGTAATGGTGCCTTGCATCTGTAGAGCACTTGGTGGTTTGCAAAGCGTTTGACAGATGCTATGCCGTTGGATACCGTGCATTTAGGAAACTCTGCTCCCATTTTCCAAGAATGTCAGACAGATCACCATCTCCCCTCTGTGTTCCCCTGGTTCTGGGGCCCTCCCTGGGCTCTTTGCATATGAGAAAACTGCTTGTCATTTAGGCTGAGGGGGCAGGGGACGGTCCGGGGCCTGCCAACTGGCTGTGGCTTTTGGGGAGCTAACTCTGCCTGAGTGACTTTGAGTGGGACTTGGGACTGAGGAAAAGCAGCTGTGGTGTGGAACGGAGGCAGTACCTAAAGGCGGGGGTGTGTGTGTGTGTGTGTGTGTGTGTGTGTGTGTGTGTGTGTGTGTGTGCGCGTGCCCATGTAGATTTTCTCTCTAACTCCCAGAGACAATGTCTGGATCATCTCTCTCCCTCTTTCCTACTCTCCTTTCTCTCCCTTCTCTTTCCCTTTCCCTCTCTCCCCCTCTTCCTCTCCCTCTCTCTCCCCCTTCTACTCTCCTCCCTCCATCCTTCTCCCTCCCCCCTCCCTACTCCTTCCCCCTCCTGCCTCATTCCCCCTTCCATCCCTCCCTCCACCCCTTCCTCCCCTCCCCCTTCCCCTCCCTTTCCCCTTCTTTTCCCCCTCCCCTCCCCCTTCTTTCCCCTTCCCCTTCCTCCCCCCTTTCCCCTCCATCCCTCCCCCCCTTTCCCCCTCACCTTCCTTCCCCTCCATCCCTCCCCTCCCCCTCTTCTTTCCCCTTCCTCCCCCCTCTTCCCCTCCCCCTTCTCTTTCCCCATTCCCTTCCTTCCCCCTCCTGTCCCCCCTCCCCTTCTTCCCCTCTCCTCTTTCCCCTACTCCTCCTCCCCTTTCCCTTCTCCATCCCTACCCTCCCCCCACCCTTTCCCCCCTTCCCCCTTCCCCTCTCCATCCCTCCCCCCTCCCATTTCTATCTCCATCCCCTTTCTTGTTACCTCTTTGTCTTTCCCTGTCTCTCCGCCTGCTTCAGCCGGTCTTTCTTTGCTTCACCTGAACATCTCCATGCCAACCAGGGGGCATCAAAGGGAGCCTCCTGTTTGCTCTGGCGGAGTGGTTCAAAACGTGCTGTGTGGGCCCCTGGACGTGCGGGGACCCTTTCAGAGGGTGGCCTGTCAAGTTAAAATTATTTTTGTAACGATATCAGGATGTTTTAATTTCTGATATGTTGAATCTTGATAGATAGCTAGATCCGTGCTGGTAATGTTTAACAACTGCCTCTCTGGGGGGAAAAATGTGTTCCCAACACACTTTTAAATTTAATTTCCATTCTTATCGTTTTTCCCATCATTTTCTTAAGTCTAAACAATCAGCAGAACCGTATATTAAACCCTGATTTTTAGCGTTTGCTGACCTCCAAGGTATAAATGCCCACACTGAACATTTAACATTCGTCTCTCTTGGACTGGCTCCGGCACACTGATGAATGTGACCCACTTAAACACAGTCTCTTTGGGAGTGTGTGTTTACAGTTGCTTTTCAGTTGTGTCTGACTCTTCATGACCCTACTTGGGATTTTCTTGGCAAAGATACTGGGGTGGTTTTGCCATTTCCTTCTCCAACTCATTTTATAGTTGAGGAAACTGAGGCAAACAGAGTTAAGTGATCTGCTCAGGGTCACACAGCTATTAAGTGTTTGAGGCTGGATTTGAATTTGGGAAGATAAGTCTTCCTGACTCCAGACCTGGGATTGGGTGGGAGGGGTCTTGAGAACAAAAAGGTTGAGAATAGCTGCTTTAGTGGGTAGGGGCCTAGAGGTGGGGTCAGGAAGCCCTAGGTTCAAATCTTAATTCTGCTGCTCCCTTGCTGTGTGGCCCTGGGTTTAAACTCTCTGAGCCTCAGTTCCCTCCTCTGGGAAATGAGAGGGTTTTCCTAGGAGGCCTTGGAGACCCCTCCCCTTCCTGTTCTAAATTTGTGTGAGCTCACTGTGCTCCCCGTCTCCTTCTTTAGGCTGGATCCATGCTGTCTACACGCCCGTAGACTCCCTGGTGTTTGGCGGAAACATCCTGCATAGCTTTAATGTGCCCATGCAGCTACGCATCCATGAGATAGAGGACAGGACGCGGGTAAGGAGCCCTCTTTCTCTCTTTCTTCCTCGGGCAGGGCCTCGGGCTCTCGCTCCATACACTCAGAAGGGAATGGATTAGGTTCCTGGGGTCAGCTGTGTAGGAGGAGTCACCTCCAGGTGCCCTCTGTTGTCCTGACCAAACTCCCCATCCCTGTCTCTTAACGCTGGCTGCCAGACAGCCGGGGGATGTCCACTTGAGCTCAGGCCCAGTCAGCTCCTTCCTCCTCCAGAGTTTCTGTTCATCTAGGCAGCAAAATCCCCCTTGTCAATAAGGAAGTGACCCAGAGGAAACAGGGCAACCTGGGCCTCCCTGCTTCTCAGTCGTTAAACGAACCCCCTAGGGAAACTGAGGCACAGACTAGTCCTTTTGGCTTTTTTTACTGCTGCTTTGCGTTTTTCTAGGAAATGTCAATATCAGCAGGGGAACCCAGCTGTCTGGACCCCCAGTCCTGGAATGTGAGGCTTTCTTTCTTAGAATGCATAGATTTTTCAGCTGAGATGGTCCTTAGGGGCCATCTCGTCCAACCCTCTCCCTGTGCCATTTTAGTCTGATACTTTAACCGAGTGACAACGTTTCTCAGTCAGTCATCCCAGCAGAAGGCTTTAGACCAAGTGTGAATGACTTGCCCAAAGGTAACACAGGTGGTGATCGGCACACCTGAAATTGCCTGAGCTTTGTCTCTGTGGCTGCCCATCTCCGTCGGCCTGAGGGTCTAGCACCCCATCAGTTGATGAGCTTGGCAAAAAGTAGTATCAACTTCTCTTTTTTTTGTTGTTCAGTCATTTCAGTTGTGTCCACTCTCGGTGACCCCATTTGGGGTTTTCTTGGCAAAGATACTGAAGTGCTTTGCCATTTTCTTCTCCAGCTCATTTTGCAGATGAGGAAACTGAGGTAAACAGGGTGAAGTGACTTGTCCAGGGTCACCCAGTTAGTAAATGTCTGAGGCCAGATTTGAACTCAAGGATATGAGTCTTCCTGACTTCAGGTCCAGTACTCTATCCACTACACCACCTAACTCAGTCTTTCCTTTACCTCTATTTTTTTAAATTAAATTTTATGTTTTTCAATCAGCAAAATTTTGCCCTCTCTCCCTTTCATCCCTCTTCCCCTTAACTACCTCTCCTCTACCCCCACAATTGAGAAAGGCTAAAACCCCTGTTACAAACATGTATATTTGAGCAAAACAAATTTCTACATTTGCCATATCTAAAAGAAAAATATGTAAATATGTGCATATATATATAAACATATAAATATGTATATTTATAGCTATAGGTATACCTATCTTTATCTGTTTTATCTATATCTACCTCTATCTCTCTCTCTGTCTAGGTAATTTTATCTTTCTATTTATTTTATCTATCTATCTATCTATCTATCTATCTATCTATCTACATATCCCCAGTTTGTCCTCTGAATCTCTCATTAGGAGGTAGATAGCATGTTTTGTCATTAGTCCTCTGGAATTACGGTTATGAGGAAACAGGTTAAGTGACTTGCCCAGGGTCACCTAGCTAGGAAATATCTGAGGCGAGATTTGAATTCAGGTCTTCCTTACTCTAGGCCCAGTGTTTCCAGTACTGTGATGCTACCTAGCTGCCTGTCGTTTACTTCTCAGCTGAAGAAAACTAGCACTCAGGGGGTTCCAGGATGGGGATATTATGTGTGTAGGGGGGCGCTTTCCTGCCCCTGAGATGTTCACTATTTAAAACCTTTACTCTCTCCTTCCCTCTATTCCTGACACTGAGACAGACTGTTGGGAGGTAGGTGCTATTATGATCCCCATTTTCCAGTTGAGAAAACTGAAGCAGACAGGTTAAGTGATTTGCTAGCAAGTACTGAAGGCTGGATTTGAATTCAGATCTTCCTGCCTCCAGGCCAGGCCCACCTAGCTGCTTCTAGGTATGTGGAGTCCTCATTTTCAAGCCTCTGGATTTGCCTTCTCGGCCAGTGGGGGTCCCGAGAAAGTACAGCTATCTGGCCCAGTGTTATACGTTTCCTGTGGCGTATGTCGGAGGGGTCAGGGTGGAGGGACGGATACACTGGCCTTCCCCATGGGAGGATACTAGATTTAGGTCTGGAAGGAACCTTAGAAGTCATCGATTTCAACCCCCTTCATTTTTCAGATGGGGACACTGAGGCACAGAGAGTTTAAACAACTTGGCCAAGGTCACACAGCTAACGTTACAGTCAAGATTTGAACCCAGGTCACTGCTGCCTAGTAGGCCGGAAGCCGTTCCACTCCCCCACAATGGGGTCCTAGTCAGATGCATGTAATAATTAGGGGAACCTTCAGATTTGACTATTTGTCTCTTGTAATTGCCATAGGCCTCCACGAACTGTGGTGTCTTTTCAGATACTTTTCCTTTTTTTTTCTTTTTTTTTTTTTTTAGTGAGACAATTAGGATTAAGTGACTTGTCCAGGGTCACACAGCTAGTAAGTGTTATGTGTTTGAGGCTGGATTTGAACTTAGGTCCTCCTGACCCCAAGGCCAGAGCTCTATCCACTGTGCCACCTAGCTGCCCCCCTCCAGATGCTTTTAAAGGGAAAATACTGCCCCGCAGATTTCTCTTTCTGGGTTTTTCCCTCCCCTTCCCCCGCAAAGAGCTTTTCAAGGCCTGAAGTGCCATGAACTGTGTGAATCAGGACTGTTCCTTCCCTCCCCACTTGTCCTGACCCAGGGCCCCCATAGCAGGAGGGGATGCTGGAACCCAGGAGAAGGGGGTAAGAGCCATTCACTGTCACAGAGCTTCCCCTAGCTCTGTGCAGCCAGAGCTGATGTAATGGACAGAGGGCCTGGGAGGCCTGGGTTCAAGACCTGATTCTGACCTATCTCAGGCAAGTCCAGGCACTACACCCTTGTGCCAGATAATTCTCTCTTTAAAGTTGCAAAGGGGTTGCCTATCTGTACCAGTGGAGGGGGTTTCCACATTGGAAGTGCTAGAAAATGATGAAATCATATGTCTGGACGCCCAGACTCCCTCCAGCTACTCCTGCTCCCCTAATGACAAACGAACAAATATCTTTCCATTAGGCCAAGTTCTGTCCAGGATTAAGGCCCAGATGCTCCTTAAATTCCCTGTAAGAAATGGTCAGTTTTGTTTACAACCAATAGCCAAGGGATAAAGCCCACCATGCCTATGGTCTTCCTGGCATTTCACAAACCTGTAAGTTTATCTGGGAATTTTAAAGGCTTTTTAAACCTTTAGGGAAGCCATTTCTTCTCTGGGGTGGGTCGGGGTGACCCTGAGGAGTCTGGCTTCTTGTCCTTGGTAAATGCGTTTTCGTAGGAAGGGACCTTAGAGGGAGGACCTGGGCCTAAAATCCCCTCCTCTGTCACTTTGCCCATATGACTGTGGGCAGATCCCGCCTTCAGACCTCAATTTCTTCATCTGTGTAATGGGGTGATTGAACTAGCTGGACTTGGGAGGTCCCTTCCTGCTCTAAATCTGTGCACCTGTGTTCTAGTTCCAACTCCCTCCTTTTACTGGTGGGGAAATGGAGGTTACTTGCCCAAGGTCACGTCTTCCAGAAGGTGTGGAAGAGGCAGGTAGAAGAGTTGCTTCTAATCATTACTTTTTACACCCATCATTTTATCTGTAATCCAGATCCCCCCCAACCATGAAATGAGGTGGAAAGGAATTTTTACCTTAAAACTCCTTTGGAATGGTAAACCTACGGCAGGATGAAAAAGAGCGGTCCCTGAGGGATGCCTGAGCAAAGTCATTGTCCCTGGACGGGACTTTTCTACCTGCCTCCACCCCTGCCAGTGCTATCAGTGCAGGCTGCCTCACATTGGCAGGCTGTCAAATCCTCTTCAATTTCTGGTCTTTGGAGGGGTTTGGCTACAAACCCGATGTGTCTTGGGGGCCAAAGCAAGGCAAAAGATGCTGGGGAGAGAAACTAACAGGCTCTCAGAGTCAGATAAAATACCGAGTTTCCTTGTCACGCCCACTCTGGCTTAATTTTTCTTATCCCTGGGAGATTTCTAAAGAAGGTTATGGCCATTTAAAAATAGTTTTTCGGCAGTAATAAAAAAACATGTCTTGGATTAGAAACACCTGCTAATGGGGGTAACAGGTAAACACTCATTATTGAAACCTTGTGGTTTTCTTTCCTCATTTTGTAAAAGGGAAAGGGGGTGAAATAACATTTTTCTGACTTTTCAGTCCCATGGGACTGAAAGTAGGGAACTGGCTGGCCCCTTGACTAAGCTTGCTTGGCCCCCACTGACTCAGCCAGGGGAACAAAAGAGGTTTTCTCAGCAGCCAGCACTGGGCCCCTCAGTCCGCCCTCCTGGGCTTGCCAAGGAATGGAGAAATCCCCATCCTTTGAGTACTGCCCAGCTGGGCATATTTGTTTGAACCTGTTGCAAGAAACCGATGGAAATAAGGTAGTCACTTCCAGATGGAAAGCTGCCTACTGCTTACATTCCCTGGAATCTTCAGAGTTTCATCATCAGTGGATCAATTTTCTCCTTTCTCCTCCTAAGCCGGTTTGGAATGGAGTAATGTCTTTGTTTCTTTCCTCCCTCCCCCACCCCGTGAAGACTTAACGTGGCTTGACCTGAAGCAGGTAGAAATTGTGGTGGCTCCGCAAGGGCTAAGCATTCCACGGAGCCTGCCGTGCCTGGGAGTAGCCATGGGCTGACTGTGGGATGCTTGAAAGAAAGGTCTGAAGCCATGTCATCGTCCTATGCAATGTCTTCAGCGTATCACGGTACCTGAAAGCATCCTTGTGATCATTTAATGCCTAGATCTCTCTCTTAGAATTATCTTTTTTCTCCCTTCGCTCTGGTGTCTCTAAAATAGAATGCATATGAGTTGTCATAATCTGCCCAGTGCCCCCTTCAATGAAGGACTATGGGATCATTTTATTGTTCAGTCATTTTCAGTTGTATCAGATTCTCCATGACCCCATTTGGCCAAGATACTGAAGTGGTTTGCCATTTTCTTCTCCAGCTCATTTGACAGATGAGGAAACTGAGGCAAACAGGGTGAAGTGACTTGCCCAGGGTCACCCAGCTAGTAAGTGTCTGAGGCTAGATTTGAACTCAGGAAGATGAGTCTTCTTGACTCCAGGCTGGGCATTCTATCCACTGCACCATTTAGCTGCCCTTCTGGGATCATAGAATCTGCAATTTAGAGCTGGAAGGGACCTTAGAATCCATCACCTCTAATCCCCTCGTGTTACAGATGAGGAAAATGGAATGCAGGGAGGTTTGAAGGCTTAGAATCAGAGGGTTAGAACTAGAAGGGACCTTGGAAGCCATCTGCTTTGACCCCTTCATTTTGCAGATGAGGAAACTGAGGCCTGAGGAGGTAGATGACTTATAATGAGCCATTTAGTCAGTCAGAAGTCATTCAACAAACACTTATTAAGCCTTTACTACGTGCCAGGCACTGTGCTATGTGCTGATTTAGAGCTGGACAGGATTGTAGAGGTCATCTTAGTACAATGCCGTCTTTTTGCATATCAGGAAACTGAGGCCCAGGGAGGTGAAATAACTAACTCAGGATCATAGTTTTAGAACTGGAAGGGAACTTCATCTTGTGTTTAGTCCAACAGGTGGGAAACTGTGGCTCAGAGAATGATGCAGGATCAGGTCTAGAATGGACCTAAGAGGTCATCTATGGGAAACCTTTCATGTTACTGATAAGGAAATAGTGCAAGATGTGGAATGACTTGTCTGAGAGGTAGGAAGTGACAAAGCCACAATGTGAATGAACCCAGGTCCAGATACTCTAGAGTCAGTAGAGTTTCCACTCTATTATGCGGCCTTCCTTGTGCCCAAAAGCACAGGTTAGTGTCAGAGCCAGGATTTGAACTCAGGTCACCCAATTCCAAATCTAGCAATCTTTAAATGGAAACCTTCTTGCCATCTTTGTAGACATGGAAATGATTTCATTCCAGTTGAAACTCCCTTTTTTTTTTTTTCCAGGAGAAAACCAAACAGACAACCCCCCCCTCCCTTTCTCCAAAACAAGATCAATTGAAATAAATACCCCAACCTCTTCAGATACTTGGGGCTTTTCCACCACCTGACACTTGAATGCTCAGGGAAGTATCAGCCGGTTTATGGGACTTCCCAGGCCCCCTGCTGTACCTCGTAACGCCTCGGCTCACTCACCTCCAGTGTGGCTTTGGGCTTCTCTAGTAAAGGTCAGGGTTAGCAACGAGGTCAATGGGAAGGAACTCAATTGGAACCTTAAAAAACTTGAGAGATCGGGAGCACTGCATGCTTGAGGCTGACTGCCTTGTTATTCACAGTCGATGAACATGAGTAACATGGAAATTTGGTGAGGCTCTGGAAACTGTCACCAAGTAATGTTGAGCAATGCTGTCTTTAATATCCCCAGGCATGTGGCTGAAACCTTTTGAAGGCGAAGGGTGGAAGGCGACTCCCTGTTTGTAAGTCAATTCTTTCGCAAATTTTGTTTTCTGCAGTGCTCTCTTGGAAAAAAAAAATTCTCATCATCATTATTATTATTATTTTTTGAGTTCCTTCGTTAGCATCTGTTTTCACCCGATTGATTTCCCTCGAGGTTCAGCAACTGAGAGGATGATTGATCTTTCCTTCCCTCCTGATCCATGACCAAGTTTTTGATTTTTTTTGTTGTTTTTCTTTTTTTTTTTTTAATCTAGAAAGACACTTGGGTGTGCTGGTACCTGGCCAATGGCATGTTGACCCAGAGTATTATTATAAAAAGGAGTGGAGGGAATTGAGCAGTCTTGTTATGCAGAATTAGGGAGGCATCAGGCCCGGAGGAGAGGCAATAGAATGAATTTCAGTAAGCAGCCAGGCGCTGTCCTAGGTACTGGAGATACAAACATAAAGATGAACCAGCCCCTATCCTCAGGGAGCTTCCATTTTATTGGG